TCCAGCAGCTGCCTGCATACTCTCACCACAGGTCGAGCATTGTTGTGCACCAGGACGAACCAAAGACCCACTGCACCAGTGTAGGGTCTGACAATGAGTCCAAGAATTCCTCCTGATATCTAACGACAGTCAGGGTGCTGCTGACTAACCTGCAGAGGTCTTTGCATCCGTCAACGAATATGATCTCCATGACTATTACTCACACACCACCAAACCAGCAATGCTGAACAATAAATAACGTTCTCTACAGATTCTGCAGACCTTTTCACATCAGTCTCATTTTGATTTTGATCTGGTTAGTTAGGAACAGGGTTTATCAATCAGTTTTAGCTGCACTGACAGGTGCCCAGTGTCGGAGCTGCAAATTAACACAATGCAGCTAAAACTGATTGACAAACTGTGTTACCTAACTAACCAGATCAAAATCACTGATGTTTCACTGACCACAGATCGATAGAAACACACGCAATGATAATATGTGAACATAATGTGTGAGAGAAAGCAGCCTCTCATTATAAGACACTGGGAGTCTCTGCATGCTGCCTTTATGTAGCTACAGCTGTTTGTATACACTGAACAAAAAGCTTTGTAGCTGCATACTGACTCCTGACACTACAACACATCACACTGACACACTGTGTAAATCTCCCTGCTCTGATTAAGCCTTGTGATGTCGGAACACAATAGTCAAGCACGCCCAAAGGAACTTTATGCCGGTGGTCAGCAGCACTCTGCAGCAGAGCTGGTATCTTAATGGAGCGGTCACAGTGTCACCGTTGTAACAAAGGTTTTTGTGATTGAGTTGTGTGTTGATAAAAATAAAAATAATAAATCTGTAAATGTTATATGTTTGCCAGTTAAGTATCATGATGCTGGTTGTAACTGGTTGTAAATGTTAAGATGAAATATCTCTTTAATTGATTATTTATAGAACTCCTGATATTATGTCAGTAAGATTGCTTTTGTGGTTTATTTTAATAGCATCAAGCTGTAAAAACAATAAGTTAAATGCCTGTTCTATTCTATAGCTGTTGGTAGTTTTGCCATAGTTGTGCGCTACTATTGGAAAACTTGCAAACCAAACAAAATGGGGGCAATTTATGGTCTACAGCGCCCTCTTGTGGACAAATTGTGAAATATTGCTTGTGCAGCGTATACTACCCCAGCAGGTCGTCATATTATTGTCCATCCAATAATATTTCATTCAATATTCAATATTTATTTTTTCCAGAAGCCCACACTCACACGCTATAACATAATGTCTTCAGTCATGCCTGGATTAAGACTGGATTAAAACAGTGTTTAACGTGTCTCTGGGACTTTTTAAAGACATTCTTAGGTAGCTACAGAGTTTCTTACAGAAGACTTGTAAACACCAGCATTTCAATGCAGTTTACAGAAGTGGTCCTTAAAGCCGGAGGTGCTATGACTACACCCAGATTTATTTATGATGTAACACATCTCCAGACACCTGGAGGACTTAGGCTA